CAGGCTCCCTGCGGGGACCGGACCCCGCGACGCGCGCCTCCGGGAAGCGCAGACTCGGCGACGCCAGCCCCGTGCCCGCCAGCTCGCAGGCGGCCGAGGGTTGTTTTCCAAGACCTTATCTCTCACTCAAGTTAATTTTCTTTTTTAATTTGGTGACCGGAACAAAAGTCACAGGAAAATCCTTTGTGAAAGACAAACGCGGCCACAAATAGGGGCATTTCACAGCATTTGTAACTAAATATTTGCCGTGCTGGTAGTTAAATGGGCCCCTCCGCCCAACTTTCCAAACTTTGCTTTCTTTGAACGGGGCTGAAAGGTGATCTCCCTACAAGATCAGACGGTTGAAAGCAATTGGATTTAGCACGGCTTTTTTCCTGGTGCTCTTGAGATCTCTGGGCAAACAGGACCACGGGCGAATCCTAGAAGGAATTAGGGCCGCGATGGGGGAGGCAGGACTGTTAAACCATTGTAGGAGCTGAAGCGCTTTGCCAATGCAATTTATTAGCTGTGTGCGACAAGAAGTAGGAGAGGCTAGGCAGGTCTTCCAGAATACCCAAAGGGAGAAGAATAAACATCCCCTTGTTTGCTTTTTGTGGTTTTGCTCATTTTCTCCCCCTCTCGTGTCCCTTCATCGAAGTCTGTTTTAAACTCAAATTAGGTTATCTGGTTTCAGGGTAAGGGCTCTCTCTTGCCAAGGTATTAAATAAACAAGTAAAGCAAAAACTTGAATCCTTATGTAATCCAGATGCAGTTTCCTCGAAAACCACAACAAACTCTGCTAAACCAGATAACAGGACCGGGAACAGTCCTGACCCCACCCCCGCGGTTTTAGGGCCAGCAGAGGACATCCAGATTCAGGAGCTCCTCTCCAGAACGGGTGATAGATAATTGATGCTAACGCTCTACACTGCAGATGCGCACCCCTGAGGGATCCGGATGCCATAAACTGTTCGGGAATGTTGGCATCTAGTTCTTAAAATGGAACTTTCCCTAGAGATAAAGCGGCCACCGAAGAGGCGTCTGCGTCCGCGGGCTGCTTGGAACTTTCTGGCCTCTTGATGTTCTCAGTTGAAAACGCAGCATTGGAATGGGGCTAAGTCTGCCCGGCTTTGTAGTGGTAATGAGGACGCAGACGCGGGTCTGCTGGCGCGCAGAGGCTGGGAGCAGCGGGACCCGGCTGCACATCCTCCCTCCTGGGAGGTGAGGGGGGGTGCTGTTCTGGAAAAATGTGATGGTATTTAGTGCAACCCCCAAGGGCTCCGAGGAGGAAGGCAAGGGACAGTGGGCGGTGGGAGTAAGAGGGGGTCCTTCAAAGGTATTTTTAGGAGTCTAGCATCAAAGTCATCCCCAAGAGGATCCAAAGGAATAAATAAATCTCGCCATCGCCTAAGACAGTCACCTTCTCCCCATCCGCCCTTCCCTCGCGCCAGCCCCACCCTGAACGCCTCGGTTGCAAAAACAAATAAAATAAAGCAAAACCTTTTGCTTTGGCAACCTATTAAGCCACATTACGCCTCCTTCTGCACAAGGAAGATTTCTTTCTTCTCCCTCTCCCGGCTTTTTTTCTTCTCTCC